GAGTGAACATGATTCTCTTTTGAGAAGACAACAAAAGTCTTTGCTATTATTCATTTGGATGGCTGAGATTCTATCCAGCCAGTTCTACTTACCCGGTTTGCACAGACATTTCCACATCGGTAGCTAATCTTGACCGTCTCAGGCAGGGAGCAGGTGTTTTTGAATGACGCCTAAATCTAGTTAAGTCGGTTCCATTCTAAACTCTACCCTCAAGCTCTCTAAGGAATCGAATTGGCGTGCTGTTCGTTCAAACGATGGAGAAGTATTCTAACGAACTGACCAGACAGGAAATAATGGCGCTAAAGTTCGTATGAAAAACAAATATATTACAAATGAATAAAAAGGATAATCCAAAGAAATAATATTAATCCCTGACTTCTTGTTGATCGATTCGATAAGCATCTTGTGTCCCTAATGAGTAAAAGAACGACTCGAATATAATATCAACAAACAATAATTGCGCTACTCATAATGAAATTAGTTGATTGGCATTGGTTACTGAGAGACAGTAAGAAGAATGAAATACCCGAAGGTATTCGAGAGTTATTCTTGTGTATATAATTCCAATTGGTGGTCATGCAGTAAGAAAATCGATTTTATTGATACCTGGGCAGCAACTGTACAAATTTAAAAAGATCGATTAAAATGTATTAGTTGATGAGTCTGAAAATTTTATCATTTCTAAAGTATCAAAAAAAAGTTGAAGATTTAAAATTTAATTTTGTTGTCAATTTCAAGTTTCCCCCCAAGTTTCCTTTTATTTAAAAGACATTTTCTTTAAATATTGAGATTTCTAATTTCCCGTATTTCAAAATGAAAAATGTAACTTTGTCTTTAGTGTTTTTTTTTGTTTTTATTTTTAAGAATAACATGACAATTCTTGAGTAATAATAATAATGTTTTTAGACCACGAACATTAGTTTTCGAAATGTACAACAGAATAATTGGTGACTTAAAAGCAGGAAATAAAAATTAAAAAAAGAAATAAAGAAAAACCTGACTGAGAACTAACAGGAATAAGAAGAAGGAAAGAAGAAAAAAATGAAGAAAGACAGACGATGGAGACATCTAGAAGGCGAAGCTTCGATTGCAAGCAATATGATCTTTCAGAAGATCGGGATCAAGAAGACACGTAAAAGCGTCTCTAACGTATAAAGAACGAAAAAGAGATAAAGAAGTGTAGAAATAATTACGAAGTACATTTTTACGGCGATTAATATATATATATTTTTTTTATTAATGTTCACCTATTAAAATCCCAGAAAAGCAACTCAAGGTAGTGAGTTACTTAATGTGGCGTGAGCTACAGGCGTAAGAATAAGAAAAAAAGAATATTGCAAGCAAAAGAACCAAACATGTGCGGAAGTTTGATCACCTGGGAAGTGTTCTGGCGGAGGACGGTAGGTGCGACTCTGAGATCCGAAGACGGATTGGGATGGCCAAGGATTCATTTCAGAAGCTGGGCAGTGTACTGCGAAACAGGAGGATTTCTATGGTGACAAAAACAAAAAAAAAAGAGCTGCTACATGACATCTGTCCTCCTATACGTCAGCAGAAGCTGGACGGTATCTTCAAGGAAGAAGAATAGACTCGAGGCGGCGGAGATGCTACAGAAAGATGTTGACGATATCATGGGCCGAGCAGGTGAGCAACGATGAGGTCTTGCTGAGGATGCAAACAAGGAGCTTAACATAATGAAGAGGCAGATGAAACTTTTGGGAGGGACACGTGATGAGAAAGGAGGGCCTGGAGAATCTGATACTCAAGGGACGAAAAGAGGGAAATGGACACAGGAGAAGGTAGAGCATGACATATGTTGCGGGCTTGGGCAGGTGGATGGCTGAGCGTTGTCTGGTGGAGTTGGCAGAAACACAAAACCTGTTGACGGCCACAAAGGATAGGGATAAGGGGAGGGCCATTATCGCCTACGTTCTGAATGGACACACCAAATAAAAAAAAAGAAGTATAGGGTGGAGAGATAAGGACTGTCCCCACATTGAAGAGGTTAATGTAGTGTTCTTGAAAGCATCTATGCGGAGGTCTGTTCTATACACTATCGGTTCCTGGAAAGAAGCTGAGTAGAACACCTTTCTAATGAATGCTAGGGATTTATGGAGAATCAACCTCTTCCTGACGTAGTAAGGCTGCTCTTGATTTCATGGGTCTTTAGCCCTTTCAGACCTGACCACTGCTTTACCAGTGCTAGAGAAAAAGGACGTAATGCCCAACCACCGGTTGAACAGTGGTAGAGAAAAATGACTTAATGTCCAGCCACCGGTTGAACGGTGGGTAAACACTTGTAACTATTTTTATATCTACCGTGAAACATTACATACCAATTATTTGCAAATTTTGACTTAGGCTCTGTGGCGAATAAAGAAAACAGCAACTAGCGAGTAAATTCAAGCTCTCCCAGCTGGTATTTCAACCTGTCTCAAAATCGCACTAACAGATTGTTCTTGCCGCCAACCGTGAACGTCACTCGAAGGACTTCCTGCACTGGGGAAAAAGTAGTTGCTTTTATATTTGTCCATGTACCCATAATCCCTTGCGTCTTCATGTGATCCCATAATTCATTGCGTCCATGTCCCTTAATGCATTGCATCTTTATTGCATAAAAATGCAATGCAAGCCCCCCACTTCATTCTTTTACGTTATCTGGCCGAGGATGGATTACGGCAGAGCGGTAAGTGCTTTTTTTCTCCCTCATTTCAACTGAAGTAGCTTTATATGCTAAGCAAATACGGGCTCTTTTTTGGCGGGGACAAGGCAAGTCGCGACCAGTTGTGCTCGTCCCAGGTTCTGTCTCATGTCCGCCACAGGCTCTCAGGTAGAAGGGTTAAATTTGTTCAAAGAACTCAGGGCACAAAGCTTTAAAGAATGGTATTAACGATGGATTAGCGATAAGCCTGCAATGTGCTACCTTAATTAATACTGAACCGACATTTTACCATCGAACTGAAGTACGCAAAAGAACGCATAATATTTCAGTAACGTTTTTTCTTGGTATTCATGGGTGAAATATCAAATATTGGCGAGAGTTTCTATTTAGAAATCTAAATAAATGCTTAGGAAGAAAATTCTGTGAGAGAAAGACTGTGACATTTCAAAATAGACAACGAGGTTTGGTTTTCCTGATCGAGAATATACCATTACGGTCTCTTGTCTGGCAAAAATTTTGGGGCCGGAATAGACCTTTCCGGTTATATTAACGAAGTCAAAATTAGTTTCATGAATTGAGAAAAGATTTTGTTAATTAAATCTAAAACTCAGATGTGAATGTGGGCATGACTAAAGCTAATGGCCTGTTAATTTTAACGCTCCCAAAACGAAGTTGATCTCGTTTAATCATGTGAGAGAATCTTTTTTCTGTAGATCAGCATGGCTGATGCTAACCTCAGGGAGAGTGATTCTTTGCACTTTCTCAGAATAACGTGTTTCACTTATATGAAGTGAAAAAGTAACTGAATCAATTACTAACATTGCACCTATGATTTGCAGTGTCGATTCAAATATTTTTCTCGCCAGAATCTATCTTACATATTTTAAGACTACCCTTCACCTTTCTCTGAATATTGCTGACACATATAGGGCGGCGCGCCTGTTGTATATTTAGAGATTCAACAAAAGAATTTGCAATGTTATTGGTTCTGATCTGGCATCTCGGTTTCAGTAACTTTTTCACCACCGTAACGTACTTTCCATGTGCCATTTCTGTAAATACTTTCTTGGTAATTGTCCTGGTGAATATTCCTCTATGGTACCGAAACTTTACGAATTTAAGCTCAGTACTAGATTGGCGGCAAAGTTTCATCATTTTGCATTTGAAATGGCTAGATGTAGCCATAAGTTTCATAGTGACAGTTTTTTTCTCCCGCACTTCTTGCTTGTGGAGCTCTCTTCCGGCTTCTTGCTTCCCAGCCAAATTTGATCTTTAAAAATTGAAAATCACTGCCAATATTTATCTTCTGTCTTCTTTATTCTTATTCTTTTATTGTCATCTCTCCTTAATAGTATTTTTTTTTATTCTCTAAGACTCAGGAATCCCTCATAGTCTTAGCGGCTTTATTACCTTGCTTGGGATGAAATGAAAAAAAAACATACACTAGTCACCTATTCTTTTTCTTCTTCCTCAGAACAGTGGAATGACACTAATGAGAAGATTTCGAGGTAACTGACGACAGAACTATGCACAGGAAAATGTGGAGTCATTATGTTAGATAAATATGCAAAAGATTCAACCGGAATTCTAACGTGATTGAACGGTTTCGTATTTTTTGGTCTTACACTATTTCCTTATATATATATATATATATATATATATATATATATATATATATAGTACGTCTCAATATTGCATATAAATGAGGAAAATGATTTGTTAATTCTCCGTTTGCCGTTTAAACCGATCATTATTCCTGTTAAAGAATTGACCTTACTTCATCGTGAATGCTGGTGGCTTCATATAAAAAGATATCACGACATCTTGCGACTTTAATAGTTCTAGTCCTAAGAATGATGACACAACATGATTAACATATACCGGGTGTTGCAGCAAAATCCGACACTTGATAAAAAGAAAACGAAATAGGCAATAAAAGCGAAAGTTGTATATGCAGAGACCCAACAGTTTATTTAGCAAAAGTTAGAGTTATATACTACATTATTTTTTAATGTAACCGCGACCTCAAGGCGGGCGTGAAATGCGTAATAAGCTTTGGTGATTATGTCCTTGTCCATAGCGGCGAACGCCTCCACGATGGCAGCCTTCAGAGAGTCGACCGTGTTGTGGGCGTGCTTGTTGGTCTTGGCCTCGATCACGCCCCGGTTGTCTTGACCTTGTGTGCATTCAGGGCTTCACCACGCTCCTCAGCTCCTCCTGGTAGATCTCAGCGGTGATTCTCAGGCCCTTTTGAAAGAAGAATGGGGGCATGACGTTTCCATCGCTGGAGATGACGCCAAGGACCATGACGGTATGCTTCAGGACGGGAAACACCTCGATGTCTTTGCACATCCACCTGTCGTTCTGCCTGTTGCTCGTCTGGTCCTGGATTAAATTCTTTTCATCAGAGAAGAAACTCGGCATCCCAGCGAACCCGTGCTTGAGTTCGTTCAGCAAAGCCGCAGCTTTTATCTTCCTCGACTATTTGGAGGCATTCGTGATGAGCATGCGGTGAGACCTCCGATAGGAGAAGTAACCAATGTCCTTCTTGATCGTTCGACAGATCGTCGACTTGTGACAGCCCATGTAAGCGACAATTTTGGCGTAGCTCTGGCTTCTATCATTGTCGACTGTCTTCTTGACAGCGGCGACGAACACGTCGGTCCTAACTGCCGAAGAACGAACGTTGTGCGCCTTTCGTCTGGTAGTAAACTCGTCCTTGTTATCACACGCCTTCCACTCCCTCCAAATGTCCATGACCATGGTTCTCTTGAACCCAAATCAGGCCATCACTTCCGCAGGCTTCTTCCCGACGCGAAAAGAAGCTACTACCACTGCTCTGCGCTCATATTCCATCCTGGAAAATGGTAGAGAAAAAAACGTTAGTTAGTTGTCAAAATGTCGAGTATCTGCATATACAACACTTTATTGCCTATTTCGTTTTACTTTTGTCAAGTGTCGGGTTTTGCTGCAACACGCTGTAGACAACAAAATATTATTAAACAATAAATAGGCACTTACAGTCAAACTGAAAGCGTATTTATGGAACAAATATAGCCTGCTACTTCAACCGTTCAATATTTAGGTAAATTATTTTTACATATAACTTAGATGCGATGTGAGAATCGTGTTCACAATTTAAAAACCAATTGAAAATATTTGTAGGGTTGTCAACATAAACCTAACCACGGGCGAAAAAGGATTTTCATTCAAGTATCAATTTGGGGAAAATATCAATTGTTTGTAAAGCCGTGATGTTTTAGGAATATTTTATATTTTTTTCTGTTGGCAGTAATGCTCTTACAAAAATGGAAATTATATCATCCAATAACTGCCTTTTTTGACATTTGATATTCTATGTTTATATATCATCTATTTGACTAAACCATTTTCTGTAGAGATTTTCAAAGCGTAGCTTAGATGTGGCACAAGGCCGAAAGTATGGGGCATCCAGTGAAGATCGAACTCACTTTTCAATAGTAACTGACCTAGAAAGATAAGCTTGTTAACCATTACACCACGCCGACGTGCCCTAAACCATTTTCTGTATAACTAGTCTTCTTCATTTTGTGATTATATCACTTAACAAAGCTTCTTTTGTAATGATTTTTGTTTTATAAAATTTTTGTGATGATTTTTGTTTTATAAAATCATATTTTATAAAATCATATTATCTGTATTCCAACGTAGATGAAAGGCTATTTTTAATAATAGATCTTAGTTCTTATGACATTTATGGCACAAATGCGAAATGTGTATTTTGAGTAAACTTTGATGAAATTGAACCCTTAGTATAGTATTATTTTTAGTTACTCATTTGTTGGGTGGCATTGCAAATAAGTTTTACTTTGTTTATTTTAGTCTAATCAGTGTATAGGTCATAAATATTTTATAATTCCATTCATGACACGACAGCAATCTACCGCAAAGAAAGTTGGTTCTCTATGTAGCGCCAGAAGTTTTTTTTTCTCGCTTAAGTCCACCCTTCAAATCTACAAATCAACCATTCGCCCTTGTATGGAATACTGCTGTCATATATGGTCTAGTGACCCCACTGTTCATCTCGACATCCTCGATAAAAGCCAGAGACGGATATGCAACACGGTTGGTTTTCACTCTGCCTTTTCTATAAGTACTTTCATGGCAACTGCTCGAGACGAGCTATTTTCACTGGCCCCCAAAGTGGTTACCAACAAAGTCTATAGAGATCCCATAGATGGGAGGAAAAGAGATGATTATCCATGCAGCCAATGTTCTGTAACTCTTAATGGTGAAGGTTAACGAATCCTTAACAGCCTTTCGGGGACAAATAAGTTTCAATAAAACGGCGGTGATATTTCAGCCAGCACCAAATAATTTGTATCAAAAGCTACAGACAACAATATGATGAAAAATGTGGAGACATTTCTTCAGGTTGTAATAATCTTGAACCATCTTTCTTTAGATAATGAGATCAGGACAAAACGTCTACTGCGGGTTTTAAGAAACTGGAATGTTTTGTTTGGCTAGATAATGTTGTTAAAAGTGCTCGTTTATAGAGTATGTATGTTTCCTTGTCTTCCTTACTCCAAACCAGTATTAGTAACATACCAAAAGCATATCAAGGCCGTGGAAAGATTCAGCCAATAGTACTTCCGTGCTATGCCCAAAATTCATTGTATCTCAAAGAAATGGGCACTGAAGATTTGGCGTTGGTTCGCATGCTCAGTATTAAGTCAAAAATATATAAGAACATATTACGGTACACGGGTCATTTGAGTTCGTGATAAGCGGAGGGAAAATAGAATTCAATAGAAAAATCATTAAAATATTTTGAATGGGCTATGATTCATTAAAATCGGATCAGTGGGAGCAGGGGAGTTGCTTAGACACACACACGCACAAACACAGATATTTACACTGTACTTTATATATAAGATTTTCGAAAAGTAAAGGTATACAACACCTTTCAAACAAAAGATTTGGAAATCAGAAAGACAAAGTTTATTTTACAATAAAAATCTCGAAAAAGAGTATGACGTGATAAAACGGGAAGTTACACTAATAATGTTTTTTTTATAGTCCTATGGTAATTTTTCCAACCATTTAACACGAAATATTTAAAATAAAAAAGGCGAAACTTGAACTTATATTATAAATAATTACAGATATTTACGTTACAAACAGCGGAAAAGGAAAGGAGAGGAATTACTCTTCTTATGTTTATTTTCATATAATAAATATTATCTGTTATAATTGTGATTAATAGCAGATTCAAAAGAACTCTATGTCAGGGCTCTTAAAAACTAGTTATAAAAATTGATTTAACACTTTAAAAAGATATATGGTTACGAAAAAATATTTTTTTTTATGAATAACAGAGCGTTCCGGCTTTTGCTGCAATCAGTTGTCATGACGATGCACGAATTCGGCATATTAATTAAGTTTCTCAAGCCTCCTGCCGAAATGGTCCGAACTCTGTGCCGTGCTCTGCCGGAACACTGTGTCGCTGTTAGCTCTCTGTAGCATCTCTCCAGCCTCTTCCGTTGAAAACGTGCGATTTCCTACTTTTATGCATGGCTAAGACGTGGTTAAGCGTAGACGGATTACGAAAGGACCAGATATGGGCAAAATAAACTGATAAGACACACCTTCTTTTAACTTCAGCGGATCATCTTTTTAAAAAAAAATAAGGAGCAGACGATAATAAAAAAGTGAAGTGTTTTGCATTATTTTTCATTTTAAAATAAAACACAGAGCACCAACAAAATGCACATACATGACAAAAATATTTCTATTACTTTTAATTTAATTTTCAAGACATAGATATATTACATACTTTGTATGCACAGATGTACACATCTGGGTATGAAGACAATCTTAATTCGGAATCAAGGCCTCTGATAAGAAGAGTAGAGGTTTTGAGGAGCGTGGCAACACCCCTTATTTTCTGCTGTTTCTCAGGTCCACCCTGACCACGGGTGGGAACCGATATGTGAAAATAATTATCTCTAAACTAAAACAAAACACTGAGAAGTATTAAAAAAACATTTTTATAGTAAGATTACCAAAAATACCTATTTGTAGTAAAATTACCAACAAAATATATTTAAAGCAAAATAATCAATAATATATTTTATCTGCAGTTGGAGGCATACAAATGCGTCCAATCTATAATTGTTGGCTGTATTTTTTGTGAAACATTTCGTTCCAATAAACTATTTAACGCTGTCCGTTTAAATTATTACGAGAGATCAATTGTCTCCAAAATAACAGGTTATCCCATAAGTTCTGTCCGAATTTTACATTTTTGTTAAAATGAACGAAATTTAAAGAGTATTTTATAATGTCTAATGGACCTGAACATTATTTTTATGTTTAGAGGCATTTAAACTGATCAAATTTTATTTCAGAGAACAATAAAATTAAATTTTGTTTCATTACAACCCTGCTAACATGGAAGTACATAAGAATCATTTGAGGCACATAATGCTTTACGAGTTCAAGAAAGGAAACTCAGCAGCCGAAGCGGCTAGAAACATTCACTCAGTTTATGGAGAGGAATGTGTGAATGAAAGAACTTGCAGAAGATGGTTTGCAAAATTCAGAGGTGGAGATTTCACCCTCGAAGATGAAGATCGAGTTGACATCTGCTCTTCTCTCCATTCTCGCCAACTTGTTTCACCTTTTTTGCATAGACTTATGACTGGCGACGAAAAATGGATCTTTTATCGAAATATTAAGCATCGTAGACAGTGGCTTGGTAAAGTGGAAGGACCCCAGCCACAGCCGAATCACGTCACAAAAGATCGAGGAACTTGGGAGAAAATTCCTTATCCACCCTATTGTCCTGATCTTGCTCCTTCAGACTACCATTTGTTTTGTAGCTTACAGAATCATTTAGAAGAAACAGCTTTTGTAACACAGGAAGAGGTTAAAACTGACATTTGTGAGTTCTTCAAATCAAAGCCAAAAGAATTTTACAGTAATAGAATTAGTAACCTTGTTAATAGATGGAAGGAAGTCATAGATAATCAGGGAAAATACATTGTTGATTGAATCTGTAATTAAATGTAACATTTGGTCACTTGTTTTCTTTATTCAAAATTCGGACAGAACTTATGGGATGACCTGATATTTAGATTTCGGCATTAAATAATGCCTAGAGTACGATATGCCGCTAAACAAAATCAATCAAACCAACTTTTCATCCCTGTCTGTCAGCTCGCTAGATGTATGGGTGGATGTACGGGTGGTGTACTTGTCATTAGCTCTGAATAAGAAATCAAAGAGCATAATCTTAATTCTAGTCGTCTTCATTTCTAATACTGTTGGGAAAAGGATGACTATCTATGCTCACCTTAGCTAGGTGTAAAATAGTAGAGCAGACTGGTTCACTCAAGACGTATTGGCAACCAGTCTAGTGTAAGAAAAAGTCTGGATTCGAAACACAAACTATAGTTTTAAGTTGACGGTAATAGCCATACTTGTCTAGTTAAGTCGACAGACATCTATGTTTGAGGTCTGATCAAAAAGTATCGGAACTGTTGCTATGGAAACGGGATTAGAGGGAACACTCTTGGGCCAGATTGACCTTTCAAGTCTCACACGTGCACTAAGTTATATCGTTATTCACAACAGTACTTGGAAGGAATGTGTATAGAATGTGGTCGCCTAACCGCACGACAAAGCTTTCTCCAGTGGGCATGGCTAGTACCATAGTTTTGGAGCAAGAATAACATTCCCCAAGAGCTACAACAACCATATTCCTCAGATACCGCCTCTTGTGACTTTGTCTTCGGAAATCAATCTCATTTGAAAGGAACCACGTTTAAAGACGTCGAGGAAATCCAAGAGAATGTGACTAGGCAGCTGCTCGCTATCCCCACAAA